TTCGACAAGAAGGTAGCTTCGCGCATTAAGAACAGGCTCGGCTTCGATGATCCTCTCAATCTCCATCAACAATTATGATGGCTCGCTGGCTTGCGCGACTTTTGTACGTTTACACCTTGTCTCACTTGCTCGTGGCAATTCCGAGCGGAAAACAGTCTCTCGGTTGTGGCTGGCGCGAATTGCTTAGCTCTAGAGTTGGAGACAATTAGAAACGATTAATGCTACTGGCGTTGCTTTTCGTCTCTCTTTTCTGACAGGCGGGATGACAGGCGGGACAATATCTGCTCAAATGCCACAAGTGCCACAAGTCTCAGACTTTGCAGTACCTTATTCGAAACCCCTTTATCATGGAGGGCTACGCTAGTCGGCAAGGCTACTGTTCATCAAAAATCATCAATTGAACTTTGCTTCCACGAGAAAGCTACCAAACCCTTCTGCCGGGCCAACAGGGCGATCTTGGTCCAACCCCTGGCTGCTCCATTCGCCTACGGAATACTTTCCCCTTTTGACACAGAGGGTGGTGCATTGAAACCATCGCCAGAGGTACTTCGAATGTTAAAGGCAGTAAAATGTCGTTTTCTTCTTCGTAAATGGGTATACGTTCTACGAGGTAAGTGAACTTAAGCTTATCTCCTGTTCCCACTCGTCGAAGGTCCTTCCGCATGGACCGCTATTTTGTGCGTATGTGAGTTGCTTGCATTAATGCTTTGTTGCGGATCAGTTGAGAGTCTGGTATTCGTTGACCCAAACAGACTACACATCCGCCCAAGTATCATTTTTGGGCCTACTGCAAGAGCGGGAATCACAGTTGCAGACGCAATGGAACTTCACCTACGCAGGTACAGCAACCGATCCTAAGGGGGCCATATTTCTGTCCTGTTGCAGTTGGGCGGCATTGGAGACACTATTGACAGATTACTGCAAATCTCAAATGCCGTCTAAGCTCAGATTGGCTTCGGTACAAATTCTGCCAACCATGATCCTGAATTGACGAAGTGGGGAGAATTCATTTGGGTAACGAAAAGCTTTTAAAGAATCTATCTGTGCTTCCCCCACGATCAACTGTCAATCAGGGCTCAGGGCTCAGGGCTCAGGGCTCAAGGGTCCTTTGTTTACGCGCATTTACTAGTTTCTTTCATCACAGCTTCTCATCACAGCTCGGTCATGTGGTACCTATCTCAGCGCGGCTTATTACATGTAGTTTCAGGTCTTCGATTAATATTCAATATACGTCGAAACAACCGATTAATCATGGTAATTTCGGAATTTGGCAACCATGCTATCGTTTCTGCAAGATGTTAGGTCTGTGCCCCCTGCATCACCCACGCATTGTAAGCACTCTACTCGCACTCTATGCATAGAGTAGGCTGCACGGACTATATAGTACAAGGGTCTGTCACTTACGCACTCCATCCCACTTTTGCGTACCATAGTTGCATAGTATGGAGATATGTACGTGATTAAATCCTAACCATCTGTGGAGCAGCGCAATATTAACCCAGCACAGCACGTTCTAATCTGTGATGTTCGAATTACGCGCTGCTGTCTCCGCCTATTTGCCCGAAGATTCAGTTATCCCGCTCTTATATACATCCAGCTAAAAAGCTAAGCCTTATGCGGTTGCGATGCGTGGCTTATTGCGCAAGCACCCGAGAGTCAGGCTTATCGGGGACCGTCAGGGAATTTTGATTCGGGAAATATATACACCTTCACTCCTCCAGCTTACACACCTATCACCTACCTACCTACCACACACACAGACACACACACACACACTGGCCGCGGGGGATACAACTGGCAAGAAGCCTCAACCCAAGTCCCAGCTACGGAAAATTCCCATCGCCAAAGCGAAATTCCATTTAGATCGCATATGCATTAGGACTACTAGGGGTTCGTTCACACATACTTTCTGCTTGGATATACGTAACGTAATATGTAATAGATACCTTAGGTACGTATTTAGGTAGCTACCTATCTAGATTGTCCAAGTAAATATAAATACATCTATTATACCCGAGTAAGCAGCATTAAATAAATAAATACCCTTAAAAAGTTAAAGATTATCCTCTTCTCCAAGAGATCTTCCACAATCCAACTACTATGTACATACTCACGCCGTTTCATAAAGATAAGGGGCATCCAAGTTTTGCGATTGGGACGCGGCGATGCTTGCCAATTACGTCGTGCTACATGCATACGTGGGAGTCATGCCACCGTGCTGGAATGCCTACCATCTCGTCCATAGTCGCCCTTCAAGGAAACTTATTTAAGGAAACTTACAAAAGACAAAGGAGACTCTGTGTAACTTTTCTACATAGGTATACAGTACATACCTACTAATGATTCTACTATGTACCTACAGAGCGTCGGATGGTCCCGTTAAGAGGCGTTAAGTATTAATAAATGATTAGTCGTAGCTGCGCCTTCGAGGCTACGGGCTGTCCCAGGCTAGACCCCTATATCAGCTACAGGTAGGGTAAGGCATATACGAGGCTGCTACTAGGTATTTGCGTATGTAGTCGCGTAGGGCAGCGTTTCAACTCTGGTAGTGCATAAAGAGCTTGCATCTAGTTGTATGTACACAATGCATGTTGTATGTATTCTTTCGAGATCTTGTCCTTGTCCCGATAAGTACAAGGATAGGTATTTGGCCAGAACTGGGGCGGGACCCTGGGTCGGCTTGAACATCTTCTCGGGACCTTTTGATAAGTCTCATAGCCTTGCTAGCTTCCCCGAACTCTGACCATGTCGGCCATACCGGCTTGATTTATCGTATTGCTCTACAGATGCGAATACGTAGAGCACGGCACGTCAGAATGTGGCTGCTCTGTGTACGATAGTAGCTCTACGCTATAAACTAATAACCCAGCTGACCTGCTCTTCTGTTCTCATAACCAGTTGTAACTAACCCTTTAGATCACCGGTGTTGCTTGGGAATGATTACGGCTCCGATCTACTGGGGATCCGTGAATCAATGTGATACCGGCTCGTCGTTACGTTTCTACTTTACTGTTTCATGTGTCTGCTCTCCGAGTTCTGATCGACGTATGTAAACTATCTTATCGTAATGACTATACCATCCATAATATCGGTTCTAATTACTATCATGATGGCGGCCGTTTATGTTAGCCTTCGTTACTGTTAACATGACTTAGGTTGGGGCCCCCCAAATGGATAGGTATGGCTAAAGGCTACGCGTGTTTCTTCTGTGCTCCTTGACAAGCGCTAGATCAAGCAAACTAACCTGGAAACTAGCTGCCTCGATCGTATGATGTTCGTCTTTCGGCTTGCATCGTAAGCCGTATAGGCTATTCCGACGGTGTCGTGTCCAGCAGCAGAATTTATACACTACTCTGGACTATGTTGCACGAACGGGGATGTGTCTAATACATCCGGGCGGTGAAGGGTGATTCTAAGATGTTCTTGCATACCTAAGGTAGGTAGGTAGGTATCCAGACATTTATCAAATGCGCAAAAACTCATAGCGCACGTATCCCGCGACCGACGCTTCGAGTATCGAAAACTTCAACTAGACCAGATCCAACCGCCTCCTGCAAGACCCAGTCGAAAGAAAGCCCGTAGAACTGCCTCCACTTTCTAGTCTGTCCAGGTAAGATACTTGCGAACTCTCCTCGTGAGCGCTTAGCTGCATAGCGTGCTTCCTCTTTGGCGATACCTCCGTCCCACCGATCCCTAAGCACCGTCTCCGGCGCCTCGCGGAATCGCGACTTGCCTAACAACGAGACAAGGTGCTCGAGCGCGGAGGAAAGGAGCTTTAGGAATGTGCCGTTTCCAGGCACAGCGAGTCTGAGTTCCGTGCCGGTGGCGTCGAGCCGGGATGCGCCGAGCAAGCCACCTCCAGTACCGCCGGTCTTGTGGACCACACCCTCACCTCCTACGGCACCAAGCGAGCCGGTTGGCTGTTTCGAAATAATATCGAGTGACGTAAGCGTGATTTTGTCTTCCGGTCGCGAATATAAGTTTGTATTATGGGACGTAGAGTCATGGCGAGTTGCGCCGGTATGGTTAGCTATCAAAAACCCAGCCTTAATAAGCTGATCTACCTCCGACGCGCGAAGAGCATTCGGCCCAAGCGCCTGGACTCCTGAGTTCTCTTTTAACAGTCTTGCCAGGATATCCTTCGTATCCCTATCTAGTAGCATAGAATCTTTCACCAGCTGCTCAAAGTCCGAGGCGAGTATTATAGTCTCACCTATATCCCCCCTCCCAGGAACGACTACCTTGCGCAGGAATCCAGCCCGCGCGAGTTCGGCAATTTCCCGCTCTGCCGCACTCGGCGACGAGAGTAGAGCTTGTATGTGTGATACGGTTACGATCGGAGGAAGACGTTTCCGATAGTTGAGAACTTCTGCGATTCTAGTAGAGTTCATTCCAGCTGCTTGCTCGGGCATGGGAGAGAACATATGACTACGGATGTACAAGATAGCCTGGGGAACGTCGCGCAAATTCAGATCGGTCGCTAGGGCCTTGACAAGCCCATAGTCATCGAGCTTGTCGTTGAAGAGATCGTCTCCATCATCTTCATCCCATGCTAACGATTTCCCACGTTTGGGTCCAGGTTTGCGACGAGGTAGAGAAGAAGCCCATGAGGATGGCGAGGACGAAGACGGCTTTGCGCTAGACTTCTTGGATGACTTCCTAACCCGGCTGGAGCCTCCTAAGATCGACCTTAAGCTCATTTCTAGCAGAGAAAACCATGAGAAAATCCAGACGCTGTCTTTAGGTTATTACGTTGTAAGAAACAGTCATGTCGTCAGGATATAACCCTAGCCTTGGCTGCCTGGCTGCATGACCAGATGACTTGAAAGAGATACGTAGTAAGTAAGTAAGTATGTATACGGGTATAGTCGTCTCAACGAATGAGACGCTAGCAATATATGGAGCGTGCGGTCTGTGGCGGCATTCTCAATAATGAGAGGCTTGATTGGTTGTAACAAAGCCAGCCAAAAAGGGGTTCATCCTTTCTGCTAACCGAATTCGGCTTACTATGAATAACGAATTGTGACATTATGAAGCTTCAAAAGTCTGCTCCTTACGTGCCTACCTACTGCATTCAATAGGTCTTGTTTTTATATTCTTAGATATAAGTCGTCTGGTCTTGCAGAATTACCACGACAAAGTGTCAGATATATCTATATTGTGATTCATTTACATCCGATATAGATATATAATATGCATCGATCCGAAGAGAGCGCCAAGAAAATCCTAGTTTGCTCTTTACTTCATCCCTTTGCCTAAAACATATCTGGGTGCTTTATTCAAGATGGCACCAGTCATCATTCTAATACGCCACGCCGAAGCTCTACACAGTCAGTGTCTACCCCACGTTTTATTGAGGCAAATTCTAATAGAATATAGATATTGCCGATAAGTCATCTCTGACCACTTGGCTAGAATATAAGGGGCTAACATAATAGACACACGAATGGGAATTACCTGATCCAGTCCTGACTGAGAAGGGTATAGAACAATGCAAAGCTCTCGCAACCAAACTTGAATCGAGTTTCAACTTTGCTCCAGATGCGTGCCGCATAATAGTGAGCCCTTTGAGAAGGACGTTGCAGACCGTACAATATGGTCTGCAGTGGCTTCGAGATCGTGGAGTTCCTACCGAGGTTCGTGCGGAATGGCAAGTATGTATAACATATCACCGAGAAACTGTCCGCTGGAGCACTAACCATGCGCAAGGAAACCACAGATAAACCTTGTGATATTGGCGATGATCCTACTACAATCAAAGATGAATGGCCCGACTTCGATTTCTCGACCTTAGACCCAGTCTATCCTCAGAAGACTGGTCTGTATGCAAACTCAGAAGATGCCTTCCAGGAGAGAGCCTCATTCGCCAAACAATGGCTCTTCGAACGTCCCGAGGAGTGCATCGTCGTTGTCACACACTCGGGATTCTTGAGGAGGGTCATCAAGGGGCCGAAATATCAGAACGTGGAGTATAGGACATATGAGCTCGTCAAGGATGCGGATGACCTAAAACTTAACGAGATCGACAGGCATGTCTTTGAGCAACCATAGAAGCCCTTGCACCGGTGAGAATTACAGGGCAGGTCGAAAACACCGGTAGCAATCAATTAATGGTATGGCAAGGGAGAGAAACACATGTGCCCCTCGCTTAGAGGAATGCCTGGTTGCAGTGAACTATAAGTAGGTAGCTAAGGAATAACAGTTATTATCTGCAATTTTCTGCAATAATAGACAATTTATTACTCAGAATCATATTTGATGATGGTCACAACACTATTGAGCAGACACAATATAATTCAACTGACTTGCTTGCATATCCGATGAAACGCCGTATCCGATGACACGTATCGCCCACAAGAGAACGGAATGAAACGCAAGAGACGCAAGAAATGCAAGAGACTGCAAGTTGCAATGTCGCCGAGATTTACCATGGGAACCCAATGTCTAGAGTATATCGGATTCCCTCAAACGAACGGCATATCATATTCTTGCACTGGACTCGGCCTCGAAGACGGTGAGAATGATCGTCTGTAAGCAATCAAAAAAGGATTGATTAAGAATCGGACGTGCTGATGAATGTAAAGATTAAAAAAAGAGAAAACAAGCAAAAATTTCATCCCGCGCAGAAATTTAGGTGCATCCGATTACGTGACCCTGCTTCTTACGTAAAAGACCCTAATGCGATGTACATACCTACCTAACCTAGGTACCTAACCTAGGGCGATCAAAGGACCCCTATGAATTAATGAGGGGTCATTGGCTCGAGACGGGGCTGTACTTGGTGCATATCCGATTCGCACGTGTATGTACATGTAACATGTATGGATGTAATTCCATTAGTTAATTAATTACACGTAACAGGTATTCTACAAAACATTCCTTTTTTAGTACTCTTACATGACTCCAATCTTCAGGTCACCACCAACTTGAAATTCTCGATACGTACCCTAATTGCAGTTTCGACAATGGACAATGGGCAATGGGCAATGGGCAATACCTACCTAGGCAATGAATAAATCCATCGATACTATGTATACATATGACTCCCTCGCGGAAATGACGGCACTGCCATCTTACTCTAGTGTGGTGAGCCTGACGTCATCTAGATCGAAGGACGACTGAGAAGGGCAACTAAGAAAATTACCGGAAATCTGCGCCGTCGACTTCTAGACACCCAGGCTCAGACACCCTGATGGCTACCTTCTGGACTTGGCACTTGGTTGCGTATGCGTGCTGCCAACGTGAGAACAATAGAACGGCAGAGCGGCCGAGCAGTCTTTTTCTTTCATCAGCGCCGGACCCCTTTGACACCTCCACATGATGATCCGTGATGGTCTCTGCAGCTCGACCCCAGCGCAAGTGATCCTTAGCAAATCCTGGAATACTGGGCTTTTGAGCAACTAGTGGATGCCATTTACATAGGCAAGTGCGGAACTGACCACTGTCGTGTGCCCTTATAGTGGCCATATTGTGGCGCCCTGAATGGGTGTTCCACGATGTCTCAGTTATTCAAGCTCGTCTCTCCACGGCTAACTTCCTACACGTGCGGAATCTGACGTTGTGATTCGTCGCCTATTGTCAGCCTTCAGCCTCGGGGATGGGAGATGGGGGATGGGGATGGGGAATCACCAAACCCTAATAACTAATTTAAGAACCCCATGAGCTGCTTCTGTCTGTCCTACGGTCCCAGTCCTAGGGAGAAGGACCTTGGAAATCTTACTGAACCATTAATGTGATGGTGCTCAAAAGCCTCACTTAAGAGTCAGAACGTAGGATTTAAACTACTCTACTATCTCCCATTTACCCACTTGGCACCGAGCCTTTGGCTAGAGATACCCTTCTGGCATTTGCTGCCGGTTTTATTGGATCCCCTAGGCGGCCCAGCTAGCCCTGCTTTGTATCCGCCGACGATCATTTGGTACGCTTCGAGAAACTACGGCAACTAATGACGGAATTCATAAAACTTTGAACACGACAACATTAGAGATCCCTTTTCAATTTACCAACCTATAAGCTATAAGCTATAAGCTGATAACCTTCACCTCTCTATGCGATATCGTCTCCCCCTCCATCTTTTTTTATAGCTCTTGGAGCATCGTCAACCGATTAGGATGGTGCTGAAGAAAGCAACATGGCTTTGGGTAATTCCCAGCCTATTGGCGACTTTCGTCATAGGTGCTCCAACTACCGGAGCTCAATACGTGCTGCAGGCAAACCATGACAGTAGCCAGTCTACGTCGCAGCGCAAGTTGCACGGCAGGTTTCTACATATTACAGGTACACTCTTCTTAAAATGCCTACCACACACCATCTCCCAATCGTATTTTCTTAAGACACTAATGTCTCGTACCTTGCGCAGATCTACACCCAGACGAACACTACGAAGTCCACACATCTACCGAGGAGAATATCGCATGTCACCGAGGCCAAGGCCCGGCTGGCACTTATGGCGCAGAAACTTCTGACTGCGATTCCCCGCTGTCGTTGGTCAACGTGACACTCAATTGGGTTGCCGCTAACCTAAAGGACGAGATTGATTTTGTGGTTTGGACTGGCGACTCAGCTCGCCACGACAGCGATGAGAAAATACCCCGCCATAACAAAGAAATCCTAGCTATGAACCAAAGAATCGCAGACGCATTTATGACCACATTTTCCGACGACAAGGGCCTAGTAGTTCCAGTCGTTCCAACTTTCGGCAACAATGACATATACCCTCACAATATACTGTTACCAGGTCCGAACAAGATTTTAAAGACTTATACCGATGTCTGGAGGAATTTCATTCCAGAAGCGCAGCGGCACTCATTTGAGTATGGCGGCTGGTTTTATGTTGAAGTCATCCCGGACAAGCTGGCTGTCTTTAGTCTTAATACCCTATACTTCTTCGATCGTAATGCGGGGGTCGACGACTGTGCACACCCAACCGAGCCCGGATACAAGCACTTCGAGTGGCTGCGAATCCAATTGCAGTTCATGCGAGAACGCGGGATGAAAGCTATTCTCACGGGCCATGTTCCTCCTGCCAGGACTTCCGGCAAGCAACTATGGGACGAAACTTGCTGGCAGAAATACACCCTCTGGTTGCAGCAGTATCGCGACGTCGTTACCGGCTCTCTATATGGACACATGAACATAGATCATTTCCTTCTTCAAGATACACAGGATATCGACTTTTCCTCTATCGCAAGCGAGCCTAACCAACGAGCAAGTATTCGCGAGACTATGGAAGATGAGGTTTCGATGGAATCTAGTAAAGATTACCTCATAGAATTGCGTGACGACTGGTCTAAATTGCCAAACCCAATCCGAGGCCAGGACCTTGAAGAATCTGGGAAGAAAAGGAAGAAGGGCAAGAAAGGCAAGGGCGGAAAGAACAAGACGGGCGGGCCTTTCGCGGAGCGATACCAGTTGACTCTCATCAGCCCTAGCGTTGTTCCGAACTACTTCCCGAGTCTCCGTGTTTTCGAATACAATATAACTGGCCTTGAGGATACCCTAACATGGGTAGACACGTTGCGCGCCCCTGGTGCTCAAGCCTTTTTCCCCGGCCCGGAGGAATCGCATGAACTGGAGCTCCGTGACGAACCCAATCTAGAGATCGAGAAGAAGAAAACGAGAGGCAAAGGGAAGGGTGACAAGAAACCCAAGGATCTTAACTTCCCAATCCCAGACGCACCAGCCAAGGGAACGCCTCCGGGTCCCGCATACTTCCCCCAGCCTTTGACGTTCAAAGGCTTCACCCAATACTACGCGAACCTGACGTATCTCAACAACGACATCACCGTAGACGACGAGGAGGAGGTGTCGTCTTTGAGCTGGAACGCGGGCAAGCACCGGGACAAGAAGCCCAAGCACGCCAAGCCGGAACCAAGGGAGTTTGCCTACGCGGTCGAATACACCACCTTCGACGACAAGATCTACAAGCTGAAGGATTTGACGGTTAGGAGCTTGTTGAAGCTCGCGCATAGGATTGGCCAGACTTCGGCTAGTTCTAAGGGGCTAATTGACGAGGAGTCTGAACGCGATTATGGTGACGATGAATATGAAGTTGATGAAGTGGAAGAAGACAGCGATGAGTCCGGTAGGGAAGAGGAAGGGGAGGAGGAGGATGGGTCAGATACTGACCTTGAAATAGAGAAGAAAAAGAAGGGCAAGGGCAAGAAGAAGCACCACAAGGGCCACAAGAACAAGAAGGATACCGAGGTGTGGCTGCACTTCCTTAGACATGCATTCGTCAGCACGAGGAGTACAGACGAGCTGAGGGATCTTGAATAAATCGGCGAAGAACGGATTTGATTGGTTTTTGGGGCTCAGGTACGATGATTTTACATATATACCTATTATCATTTAAATTGGAGAGCTTAGGGCGTTTTGGTTGGCATGGACAGGCGCTTTCGAGGAGGGGCCGCGTTTGCTAGCTAGCTGCTTGAGTTGGCTTTTATTATGTGGTTTGTGTCTTTGGGAGCGAGCGAAGCGACGTGGGAGGGGCGTTTGATGATGATGATGACTACCTGTATATAGGTATATCGATGCATAGCATGGCATGGCATGGCATTAGTGCATCTTGGTCGGGCGGGGCCGCCATAGGGAAGGGATTCCCAACTCGGTTTAGAAAGGAGGCAGCATCGGTTTTGGTTCGGTTGCCTGTTAGATAGGCAGCGTTATGCCGCTTGGCCCATAGCATTGGCATTGGCATTGGCATTGGCACAAGCATAGGTACAGGCATCATATCACTTATAAAGTGTGGGATCTGTCTAGAATTATCATCAATCATCAGTCATTTCTGGTATCTACGAATCTACCTTAGGTACCTATGCAAATAACACGCCTCCTAAACCTGGCCTCAAGCCGCTATAGATAGATAGATAGATAGGTAGGTAGGTAGGTAGGCAGTCCAAATAGTCAGCCATTACCTTAGTTATTATATATAAATAGTACCTAAGACAAGGCAAGACAAGGCAAGGCAAGGCAAGGCAACCTAATCCGAATCGCTATCCTCCGACGAAGAGAAGCCATTCCACTCCTCCTCCGTATCATCCAACACACCCGTTCCCTCCCCATCCCCCTCCCCCTCCCCCTCCTCAACCTCAAACGATCCGGTAATATCCCACCTGTCGCCAGGCGCTTTATGGCTAACGTACTTGACGAACTTGAGGGTGCCGCTATCGCGCAGGACCAGGGACATCTTGTTCCAGGCCGCGGCCTGGAAGAACAGGATATTATCGTCGTCGCCGCTGGACTTGTACACGGCCGCGTCCTCGTTTGCTGCGTCGTCGTCGCCTGCCATGTATACCTCATGGCCGCCGACTTCCACCTCTTCCTCTTCTTCTTCTTCTTCCTCATCGGGCTCCTTCTTGCTATTCTTGCTCTTCTTCGAGGTCTCAGCCTTAGCCTTGGCTTTGCCCTTCCCCTTGCCGTTGGCTTTGGTATCCTCGGCGCTTTCTTCTTCTTCTTCTTCGGCAGCAGCTTCCTCGTCTTCCTCGCCCCAGCCGCTTGTCGGCGTGATGCCTAGGGATAATTCGAGGCGAGGCTTACCTTCGTGCCCTGTGGCGAGCGTGTAGTCTTTACCGCGTCTAAAGCGTCTGGCGACGAAGTCGTGGCTCTCAATCACGGAGTCTGTCGCCATCTGTAACCAGCGGCGGAACTGCGGGCTCGGGAGGAATTCCTCTAGGAGCTCTCTTATAGGCGAGTCTTCTTTTTTCGACTTTCCATTCTTTTTGGAGGTGGCTACGTTGTCTGGTTGAAGGTATAGGTACCGGTGCTTATGGGGTGGCTTTGCTACCCGCCAGGCGCCTTTCTCAATCTCCGTGGCGTCTTCCGGTAGAGGTGCACTATCTTGAGCGGCGACGTAGTCTCGTAGTTTCTTTGCAAACTTCTTCCCAAGAAGGTTAGGTAGAGTGATGCTAGCTTCTTCTTCGAATTGTTCCGATATTTGCTCAAGGGTATCAGGAGTGAGATAGGTTGGGGCCATGTACTTGAGCAAGAACTCTAAGTCGGCCTCGTCAAATTCTTCTTGAGAGCCCGACTGTGATTGTTCGACCGGGACTGGTTTCAGCTGCGGCATGTCATACTGATCTGGGTTTCCTTGCAGTTGCATCAAACCGCTGTTCTTAGCTTGCTTCTCCTCGGCGCCTTCGACGTATCCGGCCTCTCCGACCTGGGGGATGTGGAACCAGCCACTGATAGCCATACGGACTCTCCCTCCCTCCTTCTGGAGTTGTTGTTTGCTCTCAGCGTGGTATACTTCTTCGACATCATGGAAGCTCTCGCCAGGTTGAACGGCAAAGAAACTCAACTGGTTCCACGCAGGGGGGATAACCTTGCTGACGTCCGGCGCAGGTGTCTTCGCAACTTGACCATCCTTGCCCTTGATCGTTCGCACAGGGAAGAGTCTTAGCGCGCCGCCCCATTCGGGTTTCCAGGGAATGTCGGGATCGGTCAGGTAGAGGATATAGCTAACTTTGCGACTACCAATAACGTCGTCGTGGCATAGAAGATAGCATCCCGGGGTATACACGTTGATAGCCATGTCGGTCTTTCTACCACTCAGGGGACCACATCCGGTAACGTGCGCGACATAGTCTCGGAATGCCTGCGAGTATACTGCGTCCCTAAGAGCAAGCAAGGAGGGAAGCCTGGCTAGGGCCTCGTCGTCTAAGCCGTCGAGATTCGCAAGGTCGCCGGATTGGTGGATCTTATAGATATCAGTTTCTTTAGGGGTGAAGGAAACGTTGTCCTTGATCTCCTCTCGGACGGATCGTAGTAAGGTGTCGTCGATCAGCTCGTGGATGACGCTATGCTTGTAGGGTGTGGATTTGGCATATCCTTGGGTGTATTTATCCAGGACGTCTTTGTCAAAGAGACCTTTCCTGAATCTCTTCTTAGCATCCTCATCGCTTAGTGCTATGATAGTAGTTAGTCTTGCTTGTTGCAAAAATATTTAGAATTTCTAGTAGGATCATACGATAGGTGATCTACTAGGTTGGGCGACTTACAAGTCTTCTTAGACTTCTTTTTGGCAGGCTTATGGCCTACGGCTTGCGATTGGGCTTTGCGCTTCATTATGGATTGCCAATTGGATTTATACTAATCGAGTATAGTCGATTGCGAGTTTAGGGAATGTGTGAAGAAGCTTAGGGAAGCTATTTTGAACATGAACAAAATGAATAAAACTCGCGGTTTCTTTCTGATCGACTGATAATCAGTCTCTCGCACTTTTTCAATGGGGAAAAGTAACGGCAGAAAAAAAGAAACTGGAGCAAACGATGACCCGCTCCATCTAAGTTTCATCCATCGAAGTTAGCGCGATCTTCACCGCCCGACCCACCGTAGAGAGCTTAAAGCTTAAAGCTTAAAGGTTGTTTAAGGTTGCTTATCGACTATTACATGTAGTTACTTCGTATGTAACAAGTTCTATGTACAAATTGGTCCCGATCCACTCATGCCATTATCCATTACCCCCTCCTCTTTTACTTCTTTTTACTCTATTCTCTCCCCTATTTTATTTTGATTTTTTTTTACCGCTATGGTTGCTGCACTACCTCAATATTTCTCTCCATTCAGCTCCAATGGTTCAAATAACCCCGAGTAAAAATAACTGATCTGGACTGATCTGGCTGCATGATTGTGAACAGATGCAACCAAATCATGTATATATAGATCATGCACTATGCGTACTCTACACCCTCCCTCCTCTAAAGCCTCCGTAGTAGGACCCTATTGGCGGCTAAGTCGTTATGTCCGGGCAATCCTTTAATCGGAGTTACAAGTTGGTGCTATATCAATACGGGCTCCTGCGGAAAGACTTATTTGTGTGGGACGGGATCACGCCAGGAGGCGTCCGAGGGCGGCAGTTCTACTGCAACTCTTAGGGATGTTTGGTCACATTCAACCACCGTCTACGAATATTCCACATATTATTGACCAATAAATTAAACTTGTAGTCTTAGGGCCGGTCTGAGATGGTAGAGACACTCTTTTATGAAGAACGGGTAACCCGTAGCCGGTTCTGGGGGCCAAGGGATCGACTGTCATACATCGGTTCGTTTACCGATATCGCTACCTATTTCATTATGTTCGTCGTCTATTTCTGTTTTCCTATGCTGAGGATTATACTTGGTTCTCCTTATCTACCTATAAGCTTAATGTCAAGTCAAGTGTATCTATTAGAATATAGTCGGCGTGTTGGCGGCCACGATTCATCTCAGTTCTACAGAGCTTCGCCCGGGAAGATACTTCCACCAAGGAGAACCTCATCATATAAATGTCACGGCGGTGTTAGGTTATTACCATCGGCTCGCCTTAATGTCCTGAGATTTCAACTAGGCTCGCCGATAGCAGAACCCCTATCTTGGTACTCTTATAAGTGTGTAGCTTGGAAAACTCCATGAGCCCGAGCAATGCATTATTATCGCCTTGCTTATACTCCCTGAGTAGCTATTTATCAGTAATCTCTAAGTGACAGCCTCTTAATACACCCACGGTCATTGCTCGTATATTCTATCGAGACCCTTCCATAACGGTCGAGTTCTACTATCATCGATACCGGTTTGAGGCTGCACCGATATCGTAGATAGGTTCTACCAATCCCTTTAGAACACCCCATAAATATCCAATGGGCATAGTGGCATATTCATTCCGACCTCATTTGATATTCTATCACATATCAGATATGTCCTAAGCATTACTCAGCCAGTCGGATAGCTATTAAGTTGACAAGACATACTAGTTCTATTCCCAGACAACAACATCATAAGATAACATTCTCCGAGCGAATAGTAGAGTTGAACCAAGGGGGGCCCGATTCTCTCTAGGTTCCTATTTGCGATGAGGTTCAAACATGAATATGTTTAGCCCCTTATAGCCAAGAAGACCAGAAAATATATATTAACAAGAAAAGTAGTCTTATATTAATATCTTTACATTCTTAAAGTCCCTCATTATCCCTGGTATATTAAAACCATGTTGGCTCGACTGAGACAATGCTTCTTACCTACCATCTATCAGTCCATCGTTCTATCTTGCATGACTTGCATGATTGTGCTATTGTTTTTACCGCCAGCAAGCGCCTATGTTGTATCTATAGCATCCACTCACAGCTCGAGATATAGTATACACGGTATTAGTGTAAGCCTACGAAGCGCCGACAAGACATATAGGACTAACATGTGCTACATATCGTGTCAACTTATTATAGTTTGATAATATTAAGAACAAACAAGGGGTAACATATTGGGGTAAACGAGGTAGCTAAATCCACATGAGTGATTCTGTGAACTCTCAAGTAGGCGTTTAACGTGCATGAATCGACTAGGTTACATAGTAGTTCTACTCCAATATGCGGAGAAGAGCCCACTAGTTTGCGTGGGGGGGAATATAAGGGGCTATAGACTCAAGAACTTTAAGAAAGCTTAGAGGGACTGAGATGTAGCCAGTCTCGAAGGTATAGCATTCGGTAGCATTTGGAAGTGATATATGAGCTGTATGAATAGGTAGATTTATTAGCCAGGTAAAAAGTTTCCGGTTTAGCAAGGTATTAATGCTGGATATACATGTAGTATAGAAGTAAATATTCATAGTACACCCCGCATCCAACGTCATTAGTCGGGCCAAACTTAATAGGGCTTGGGTTCCAGATCATTGGGTTTAGATCATCTTCATAATATACATAGGTTGGACTTCGGAATAGGAGAGCACCTAGATTACGAAGATTGAAGCTATCTCAAAAATTGAAACCAGCAAACCACCAAGTTTCCAAGACGAATCTAATAACGACAATCCCATAAAATGGCCACCTTCGACATCGAAGCCGATAGGGCCAAATTCCCTGCCCTGAAGGAGGACCAGGTCTTCCTCGACAACGCGGGCGGAAGCCAGACGCTAGGCGCCGTCATCGAAGCGTGAGTAACGAAAAGAACGTCCCAGACCCTATAACCGAGACCTCGGCTTCTAACAATATACTAGTATAAGCGACTACCTCGTCAAGAGCAACGTCCAATTTGGAGGTGGCTATAAAACCAGCAAGGCGTCAAGCTCTCGCTACGACGACGGCGTAACCGCCGGGGCTAAGTTCCTCAATGCGGAGAAGGACGAGATTGGTAGGTTTGCTTTACTTACTTACCACTTATACCTCATAGCTCATGCCTCATACGGTATAACCGTATAACAGCATAAGACTTCACTCACTCACTCACTCCCTCCCTCCCTCACCCAGTCACCTACTAACACAACAACAACAACCCCTAGCCTTCGGCTCCTCAACCACGCAGCTCCTGCGCAACCTATCATTCACACTGCCCTTCCACCCCGGCGACGAAATCGTCGTCTCCTCCATCGACCACGAAGCCAACATCGCGCCGTGGAAAGACCTCGCCGCCCGCCTAAACCTCGCGCTCAAGTGGTGGACACCCCAGCAGCCGCCCAAATCGACCAACCCGCGGCTCCTGCCCGCAGACCTGGCCCCCCTGCTATCCCCCCGGACGCGCCTGGTCACCTGCACGCACGCGAGCAACGTCCTGGGCTCGATCCACGACGTCAAAGCCATAGCCGACGCCGTGCGCGGCGCGGCCCCCGACGCGCTCCTGTGCGTCGACGGCGTGGCGTACGCGCCGCACCGCCCCGTCGACGTCAAGGCCCTCGGCGTCGACTTCTACGTCCTGTCCTGGTACAAGGTGTACGGGCCGCACGTCGCCATGCTGTACGGGAGTCGCCGCGCGCAGGGGCAGATGCGCTCGCTGGGGCACTTTTTCAATCCGCACGCTACGCTCGAGAATAAGATCAGTCTCGGTACGTACGTACCTACGTATGCGGTATGCCCAGGTGGCTGTCTTGCTGCTGGGAGCCCCCCCTTTTCTCTGTTTACCTACCCCTTTCTTCCGCTAGTCACGATCCATCGTATAAGAGCCGAGCATCGAATATAATATGCATAAATATAGCATGAAGACTCTTATTTTTTTACCCAGTTATTCCACAACACCAACTAACTTCACACCCAGGAAGCGGGCACTACGAACTAGTGCAATCCATCCCCGCCATCGTCGACTACATCGGGCCCCCGACCCCCGGCAGCCTCTGGCCCAGCATCGCGCAGCACGAATCGCGCCTGCAATCGACGCTGCTAGCCTACCTGGCCTCCAAGCCCGGACAAGTCACCATATACGGCGAGCCCAGCGCCGACGCCTCCGTCCGCCTGCCCACCGTGAGCTTCGCCGTCGCGGGATGCGACTCGCGCGCCCTGGTCGAGACGCTCGAGCGCACCACTAACTACGGCTTCCGCTGGGGCGCCTTCTACTCCAACGCGCTGGTGCACGACTTCTTGGGCCTGGGGCCCAGCGGCGTGGTCAGGGTTAGCATGGCGCATTATAACACGCGTAAGTGGGATCTGCAATCTGTTTACCTACCTACCTACCTACCTAACCCAGTCTATTTCCTAAATTCAAGTAGGTATGGGCTTTGGAGGCTAACCTGATGAATGGCATTGTGCAGTGGACGAGATAAAGGGGTTTATCGAGGCGCTGGACGGGGTCATATCGGAAGCGGCGTGACTTGGCGGGTTGCATGAGGTTAGATTAGCTGTGTTCTCTTTGTGGCAGATGTGCTGGTTATCTCGGGTTTAGAATGTAGGCCACCTTTGACATCCATGCGGGTAGCCATCCATATCCTAGCCCCTTGTTAAGAAAAATATTTCAAGGCAGATCAATACTTTAATTTCAAACGGATGGATGCGTAATAACTTAGGTACCCAAAGCAGACTTGGACTAATTGAGTCGATACTTATGTTCATTTCTGAGAATATATACCTGCTGCTCCCTATCCGACATCCTACACCCAACTATCAAGCCGCTAAGTACACGCACACGCACACGCCATGCCCATCTCACAGCTTCCCAGACCTCGAATTAACAGTCGTCCTCAACAACGAGATAACCTCCGCCGGGTCCTGCGCCCCAAACACAGCGCTCCCCGCAACGATAACGTTGGCGCCCGCGTCCGCCGCCTGGTCGATGGTGCCGGGGCCCAGGCCGCCGTCGACCTCGATGTTCAGGTCCGGGTACTTCTTGCGCAGCGCCTGGACCTTGGGCAGTTCCGACGCCATGAACTTCTGGCCGCCGAAGCCGGGCTCGACCGTCATGATGAGGACCATCTGCGTGTGTTGGGGTTAGTTCGTGACGTGACAGTTACATTAGGTAAATGCAACAACCTTCTCCTCCTCAACCACTCAAAAATTACAAATAAAATAATACGAAGAGGATAAGAATGAATGAATGAATGAATAGATGAATGAATAAATGAACGGTACAAGGACAACGCACATCAGGCCGCTCCTTCGGATCCTCGCTCTCGAGCAGCTCCGTCAAAACCTCGACGCCCGTAGCAGGCTTCAACGCAATACCGGCCAACAAGCCGCAGTCGTGTATATACCTCAGCAGGTCCTTCGGGCTCGTCTTCTCGTCTGTCTTAGCCTCGGGGCTCTCGGCCGCGCTCGAGAACGCGGCTTCGTAGTGGAAGCAGTATAGATCGCAGCCTGCCTTTTGGAACTCCTTGACCCATTTCTTGGGCTGTTTTTATATTAATTATATATCGAACGGTGGCGTCGGGGAATACCTACCTCGGCAATCATCATATGGCAGTCGAACGTGCCGCGCCCGTGGTTCTCGGTCGGCTTATCGACGTGCTTCCGGATCTTAGCCACGACCGGCGCGCCGAACGTGATATTCGGCACGAAGTGGCCGTCCCTACAACACGCGAGCAAAAACGCCTCACCGGTCAGCTATCTTGAACCTATTTCCTATTTTACAGATTACTTCACGCAGAACCACCATTCGACTTGATTATATAAATATACCACCACCAGTACCAAGATGCCGCCGCACAACTCCCGGGATACGTACATAATATCGACATGAAGCCAGTCGGCGCCCTGGTCCATAGTCCTCGCGCAGTCGGCACCTAGCTGGGCGAAGTCGGCCGACAGGATCGAGGGCGCTATTATCGCCTTGGGCGCCATGGTTGTATACTTAGGTGAAGGAAGGGTTGGACGTATGTAGGTATATATGTATGTAACCTAGGTAGGTATGTATCTTCACGCGCGAATCAGGGGTAGTTTTGTTTGCAAGCTCGAAAGGACCCTGATGTCTCGTAGTCGGTTTGCGTGAAAGTGAAACAAGGGTACGGGACAGACGTCACAGGAAGAAAAGATGGCGGGGCAGTTCGGGTGGTGGGGATAGAGAGAAGGTGGGGTAGACCCCTCAGCTTAATCCCCATTCCCCCATTCCCCCATTCCCCTATTTTTATATTTCTGTCGAGGTAGAATACCTAGTACCTACATGTAGTACCTAACTCACCTTGGGGAAAGCCTACAGTGAATTATCACAATAAAGTAATGGTGTGATACTAACAGATGAAGAGCCAATGTAGTTCCTTAACAACAACGTTTTCCTCGAAGCTGATGAACTTTTGAATTAACTAACCCCAGTGACTAGGTACTTAGTTGACTAGGTAGTCGTATACTACTAGACTAGACACGCAGGCGTATCCCGCATTCAAGCCGTCACAACCCTTACTCTTCCTCGGGGACAGTCTCCGGAACCGTCTCTTCTTCGCCTTCGTCGTCGAAGCTGCCGGCAGGAACCTCGTATAGTCGAAGAATAGACTTGTTAGGATCCTTGACAAGCACGAACTTGCCGTCCTCACGCTTAAGACACATGTCAGCTATGGTGCGGACGATACCCCAACCGTTGGAGAGCGACAAGTTCATCTGGTTAGCAAAGTCCTTGGGCTTCCAGCCAATAACTCCCAGGATTACGTGCTTATCGTTCGACTTCGGGTTGGCGCGAGAAACGAAACTAGATAAGATGTTAGCAAGGTATACCCATAACAGTTAAACAGAGTGGAACTAACCCAAGCTTCATGACGTCCGCCTTGGACAATATACTCTGAACTGTCCATCGTGCGAGCTTGACGCTGTTGTTCTTCATCTCCGTTGCGACAACGGCACCACGTTGGCTGACTAGCTTGGTTCTCCAGTCTAGAGCACCGCCGCTGCCTTGGGCCTTGCTGTCAAACTCGTTGAGAGCCTTGACGGTCAAGAACTGATCCTCGCCGCTAATGGCATTCTTTTGAACGGCATCTAGCTCGGCCCGGACGATCAGATACATCGGATCCTCCTCGCTAGTTGAGAGATCGAATCTGCGGTACTTGTAAGCCTTGCTCGCCGGAGGCTCAGTCTCTTCGGAAGCATTGTAGAAGGGGTTTTCGTGCGCCATCTCGACCTTCTGGGACTCGTTCTCCTGGACGACCTGGTTCGCGAAGTTGTGGTTGATGTAGGTAGCCTCCTCTGCCAGGGCGGCAGGCAGGTTGATTCCATCCTTGTTACCGTCGGAAGCTTCCATGGGGGCATCGGCAGCGTTCTCGTTCACCGTCACCATGTCTAGTGCGGCATTATCACGCTTGTCGAGGAAGATCTTGTTTCCTTGTCTCACAATTACAATGTCCCATGGGTAGACCGAGCGGGTAGAACACATGAGCATAGATAAGATGCTATCGGTGGCAAAGATAGTGGCTTCGTCCTTGTCGGCCAGCTCTTGAATGACGGGGTCCGATGAGGTAGTGACATTATAGGCAGCACGATCCAAAGGCACCAGCTTCTTCTCGGCAGCCTTGACGGGTTGCTTATCGTAGGATCGGTCATAGTAATAAACGAAACCGTAGCTATCCATGTCCTCTCCTTCGTCAGCGTCCAGGTTTAGCTTGGCGAGTCTGTTAAAGTCAATCTCTTCCAGTAGCTGCCAGTCTGCTTTGATGTTGATAGAGGCGTCGCGGTTCCGAGTCGGCTTGTCGTAATCCTTCCATCCGAAGCGGCGGCCGCGAGGCGCATTAGAACGACCACCGCGGCTGTCGTATCCTCCGTAGCCTTGCTGACCACCACGCCCAGGGCGCTGAAGCTGTACGCGACCACCCCTCGTGTCCTGTCGGGCACCTCGTTGTCCGCGACCGCGCGTAAAGACTGCGCCCCGGCCGTATCGAGTCTTCGTTGGTTCTCTACTGACGACGGAGAATGTGTTTTCATCCTCGGCGACGGGTGCAGTGAATAACGCAGCGCTACCGGCACCGTAGATCTGCTGGTCTGTATTGTATTAAATATTAACACTGGGAACTAATGACTGTCAAGATCGGGGCAACTTGGCTTTACATACCCCTGAAGTTTCTGTTGTACTGCTGTCGACCACCACGTCCATCTCTTCCGTCCTTGCCATCCGCTGTCCAGTCTGCCATGCGACCTAGCTTGTCGCCTTTTGAGAAAGGAGCATACGGGACACCATTGAGAGTGGTCTCGGTCACCGGAGGGGGACCCCATCCGTCACCGTCAGGCAAGGCCGCAATGAGGTCGGCCAAGGATTTTTCGGATGCCATATTGGATGATCTCAGCAATATTATATCTATGATTTATCTTCAGCTGGAAGTAATATTGCTTTATTGAAGGCGACCTCGATATTGTTGTTTTTTTTTTGCCAGGGCGTTGGCTTGTCGAAATTTTGGCTGCAGGTGAATATTTTAGCAGTGAATCAAAGAGTTTTGGTGGGGTGTGGGGCAGTTGGCAGTTGCACAGCGTCGGATCTTGGTTAGTGCAGTACGTACCTAACCTAGGTATCTTCCAGACAAGGACAGTTAAAGGGATATCGCGACTCTATTATTAGCACTGTACCTGAAGTCTTGACGGAAGCTCCTAGGGGTGGTTGAATACCTAGGTACTCATTATAATATGCAATTTCCTTGTAAGTCTAAGTGACATATTATCAATATCAACTAGGTAAGTTTAAGCTAGAAAGAAGTACGTACTACATAAGGTAAGACAATTGAACAATTCAGACATTATAGCCTTTCTTCATATATTAAACTTATAACCTAGTCTCTTCACATGAACAACCTGTCAAAACAACAATTCCTTAAAGTCCCTATTAACAGAATAGTATTTTAACACTGTTATACCTCTCCAGTATATAAGTATATACCCAAGTACATGAATGCGTTCTGCCCGTCGTCTCTCGTCATATGACAGCCCGTAATAACAATCCCCAGCGTCATTATCATCGCTTTATATATATAGGTATATATGCATAAAACCAACCATAATGTTGTTTAAATTTAGAAAGAAAACAAAAACTCAAACCTTACAACTTCAACGGCCCGTCCCCTAATAAGCCACGCCCACCTCCGACTTCGCGGAGAAGACGGCATTGAGCGCATCCCGCACCTCGAACTCCTCCATCACAGCTCCGAACCTGTGGGGGGAATTAGTTAGCATCGGATCGGATCCAGTAAGCAGAACACATGGGTTAGCTTAGGTTAGCTTAGGTAGGCAACACATACCCGTAACAACGGACTTTGCCCTTAAGATCATCAATCAGCCGTTCCAAGTCCTCGCTCTTCAGATCCCCCAGTTTCGGATGAGACAGAACCATGCCCCAAGCCATGACGGGCGTGATCTCGCCGTCCAGATTCAACTTGGTGCTGAGATCGAGAAGGGTCGACAAGTCACCTTTGGACAGCTCCCACGTGCGCTGGCGAGACGGTGCCTCGCCTCGGTCGCCGTGCGTGTGCGAGTACCCGAACGGGATCTCGTCGCTTAGCTCGGGGAACGGCTCCGGCGGACACGAGGCCATGAGAGCGTGGCCCGCCGCGTCGCCGCTCGTGTCTTGCGCTCGCTCGATCAGCCACGGCATGTGGTCCATACACGGTCTCTCGAGCCTGTACGCCCATCAGCACGGGTTTGATTAGCTTCACTGTACCCCCACGACAGAAAACATTTACATTTTTCTTCATTTCTCTCTCTTGCGTATGAAACAGACATGTATGTGTGTGTGTATGTGTGTGTGTGTATGTGTGTGTGTGTATGTATGTGTGCGGTGACGACCCATTATTACTACTACTACTACTGCGGGGGAGGTGATATGTACGCCTTCGAGGGGTCATCGGGGTTATCGTACGTTAAGACGAAATCTATCCCAGCCTGCTCGTAATCTACGTGGTGGCCCTGCTGCTTCTGCTGCTGCCCGCCTAGCCCCTGCGACGACGACGCCGTCGCCGTCATGGAATTCGGGCTTGATATCGACGTCATTCCTGGCGTGTACGCGGTGTTTGAGCTTCCTGCCCCGTAGCCTCCCGAGATGCTACCGTTGGACGTGTATCCGGGGCTTAGACTGCTGCCGATGTCGTCTACACCGCCTCCCGGGCTGTGCGAGATGCCGTTCTGCTGCAGCAGGATTTTGAGCTGCCGGTTTTCCTCGGCGAGCTTGTCTTTGTCTTGCGAGACATTGGTGTAGATCTCTTTAAGCCGCAGCACCTCGTCTTCGAGCGCCTTTATGTATAGCTCTTTGCGTTCTCGATGCGTCCTACCGACGGATGGTTAGCAGGGGTTGTTACCCACCGAACCCACTTAAGAGTCCATGATATACCTCTGTGCTTGGCGATTCAATTCTTGCCGGCGTGTTAACGCCGGCTTACTGTCGGGTTTAGGTCCTCGCCGCTTTGGAGGATTGCCATCGCGGGTGGTCTTCTTGTCGTTCAACGACTTTAGAAAGTTGAGGTTCAGCGAGCCAAGAGGACCCTTGTCAGGCTGGGAGTCGTTGGGGGGCGACGCAGAAGACGACATCGAAACGTGTTCGTAGAGCGAGCCCAAGGAGGGCTTGTGATCGGATGGGGAATAATGTGTTGGAGGAGACGGATAACCAACTACGGGTTGCGGGTTAGTGATTTTGGCCATTGTTCATCAGACATCAGAGCGACTTGGGCGACAGAAATGCGCGATCCAAGATTGGGACATGATGGGGTATCGAATAAGGCAATAGTGTTCGAATTGATGGGAGATGCTTCGTTTATGTGCTTCATAGAGCGGGGTGAGAATGCTACATAGTATATATGAATGACCTACCACACCTTCCGATTCAGCCTTGATTTGGTCGTGAGAAGGGATCTTATTAGTATAAAGGTTAAAGATGGGCTTTTACTACTATGTATCAGTAGTGAGCGGCTCCGCCAGTCCGGTACTATGCAGAGGCGTTGTAGGATCCAGTTTGGGCCGCGTGGTAGGACTATTTTGTCTTACAATTGGTACGAAACTAAGAAATAGAATGCTAAATAGAATAGTTCTCTGAGATGATAGATGATAGATGATACGTTGAAAAAGCGTTGGTTAAATCATTCTAGAGGGGCGGAACCCCACGGTAAGATAGGACGATGTCTCTCCTTAACAACCTTGTAGACGTAAGAGATAGGGTCTGCGATGAATAATAAGAGGATGTTGCGGTAGAGAGGATTCCAATAGCAAATATCTTGCCTGGAAAATTAAAATACTAAAATACCCCCTCGCTGTTGTGCCCTATGTAGGTATGTAAGACTGCTTATATCCATGTAGTAACTAATATCGTCGTAATCTGATATGACGATACATACCACCTAACCTAGGATACATACTGACATAATCCACGATAATGCATAGCCTACCTCGCTAGTGTTAAGTAGTCAAGTGCCGTGTGAGTTGCGGGTTTCTAAAGCCTTATTAAGAAGCTTGATTCTTTTAGCCTTGGGTTTATTATTCCCCTTTGATACCTAGTACATATTGCATGTAACCTATGATACTATGGTAAATTACGTATCCCTTCTCCAAGTACGTAACCTAGCACGTATGCAGTCTGTTTATCATGTATCGTGAGATTGGATATGGGACTTAATCATTCCGTATTTTCCGTGGCCGTCGTGTCCGTGCCTTTCTGGGGTTCGCTGCTCGCTGTTCGCTACATACATAATGAGGTGGTCAGCGTTGCCAAATTAATCATGATTCGAGATGGTTCGTCGTCCTTTAGGTACCTACATAGTTAAGCTAATGCATAGTGGCTGAGAGCAGACATCGGAATATTTATTAGTAAGGATCTTCCCAACGAAAGATCTTGGCGTCGCCCAGCAAAGTGCTTTCTCGGCATGGATTTGTACGGTATGTACATATGTCCATGTACATACGAAAAGGAAATATCTATTTATCTATCCAAGTGTAAAAACACCTCTATTATCTATATAGAACCCCGGATACTAAAGAAGTAGTAGTCAAGGATAAATAACCCCTAGTTCCATCTTGACCGCCAATCTGAGGTCAAAGGTGAAGATCCAGTGAAGCAAGATCTCTTCGACTACCCAAGGCAGTAATCCCATTGGTGGGTAAGCATCTCTCTTCGGATTTACACCTTGGCTTTCCCCAAAGTGGGAGCTGATCAACCAATCCTAGCCCAACCCTTTAGAACGGAATGTCTCAAGCTGTGCCTCCAACTGTGAGACCGCTGACGTATGTAAATTGATCAACACCATCTACTGTAGACCGTTTGACGTATATCCATGGACCTATGATATCCTCATTATAAACTCTTCACGGGAATATTCTCTCTGTTCTCTCTGATCCGAGTGTAGCATCGCTTTGAAAGATCGCCAGCTCGAAATCTGGCGCTTAGCGGGTCCTGATCCTTGAAACAACGTGTACATAAAGAAAGCTGCCGAGATCATCGTTTATAACTCGGGATTGGTACCGAAGTTCGATGAAAGATTAACTAGGTCGTTAACCATTGCTTCAATTCTGCCGTTTTGCATCCACATCCAAGCTCAGATCAACTACCGCTCCGCTCTACTAGTATCTGCTATCTACCTACACTACATGCAGGTCCCGCGGCCATGTTAAAAGGACCTTCCGCCAACCTGAGGGGTGTCGTGCTAGTGGCCCCCTGGGTCGTTTACCTTGCGGTGTGCGATGTAGTGCTGTCTCTACTGCTGGTAGTGAAGATATTCGCACCGGATTTTGTCTACAGCGCATCATGCCGCATTGCATACTCCGTGTGGAAGTGGATCCAGTTTATCTTTGAGAATTGCAACGGTGCTCGGATCACCATCTCAGGAGACCGATTGCCCACCAAGGAGTCGGCTGTTGTCGTCTCGAATCATGTTACGTGGGCCGACTTTTACCTGATCCAAAGCCTGGCCCTGCGATCGGAGATGTTGGGGCAATGCCGATGGTTTGCGAAGATCCAACTGCGCTGGGTCCCCTTTCTGGGATGGGGCCTCTGGGCCATGGGTATGCCGATGGTGACCCGGAATTGGATGCGAGACCAGCGTGAGCTACAGCGCGTCTTCGGTGGTATCGTACGTAGGAGATGGCCGATGTGTAAGTGCTTGCTTGACTTACACCCACTCGTCTTAACCTATACGCGTTCCAGACTACATCAACTGTGCAACTGACATGTCCACCCTGCAGGGCTGATAAGTTTCAGCGAGGCAACACGATTTACCCCCAAGAAGTATAACGAATCTATTGTTTGGTGCAAACAGAATGGTCGCCCGCAGCCCTTGCATTTGCTATATCCCCGTACTAAGGGGTTTGTCACCACCGTGCAGCAGTTAAGAGCAGCACCTCATGTCAAAGCAGTGTATGACTTTACCATTGCGTATCAGCACAAAGACAAGTTTCATGCGGCCCCAAATATGTGGGAAACTCTTAAGCTCCCGGACCTTAGTGGTTCTCGAGGGTATAAATTCCACATTCATGTACGGCGATTCCCCCTTGAAGACCTCCCCTATACGGACGAAGACCTAGCAAAGTGGTTGGAACAAAGATGGATTGAGAAAGGGGAATGGCTAGATGCCCTGAAGACCGAATGGGCCTCTCGATAGAGAAAAGCATGTGAATTTGGCAGCCCTTGCCAGGTTCAAGTAGTAGTTTAAGGTCACGTTTATAATATTAGAATATTCAAGCCGCGTTGGAGAAGGCAAGGACTTTAGCAACCAGTCTTGGCACCATTCACCGATTACCCTTTGCGTATGACTATGTGATAGTTTGGAGGACGGTCTGTGTAATTACTTGCGTCACGAGTGTGCTAGATGCCATTGTGTGCCATCTTGCTGTAAGGAGCTATCGTACATCTCAAGGGTGTGTTCGGTTCATGTAAGACATAAGTACATAGGTAGCTGTGCTAATAGTTATGGTAGATACAGCCAGCGGGCCTACGTAGAGCCAACATCATTGCCTCTATCCTGTGTCATGGGCTACACTAGCATACTGGACTATCCCGTGTAGAACTACCTGTATATCATTGGAGGCTAAGAATACGAAAACTGAGAGATACTCGTTCTTTGACTAAGAACACATGGAAGAATGATACTCTCTCTACGACAACATGACACTACGAATATGTATATCGGTGTGGTTCATCGAGAGATCTCGAGGGCTCGAGGGAACTTCATATACGGCAATCTAAGATGATACAGAAACCACTGGTGAGTCTGTAACGGTAATAGGTTTGACATGATTTGCCTAAAGCGAGTTTGCGTAGCATTATAGGTATAGGATGCCATACTCGTAGATGTGCACGCATAAATTACCGGCTTGGGAGACATTACCGATTGAACTAAATCCAGCTCAGACGAAAAGTGCGTTCATGATCGGGTAGTACAAAAGCTTGCAATATATGAATTGCTTTCGTTGATCGGGGGACGAAGCAGCTCATTATCGCTACTGATTAGCAGAGCTGTGCGAGGCGAGCAGGAAACCCATTGTTGATCAGGATCAGGATTGGCTACCTAGTATCCCCTGATACATATGTAAGCGTATGTATGTACTTCCTGCAGTCTGGCTTCAGCCGTTGCATTGGCGAGGAGAATTGGAGAACCCTGAACCTACATACGTTAGGTACATGAGACTACACACGTATGTGACGATGAGTAGTGGGGTGAGGTTGTTACGATGTTGTGAAAAGTTGAGAGCGGGTCTTAGTATCACTCGAGATCGCTTGATACTAGGAAAAATATGTAGATGTTGGTCATCCCATCCCCCCTTTTACGGTTTCGAGGTCGAGTTTAGGGACAATATGTGTTGGACTTCAGGTAAACCTTTCTCCTTTCTTTCTGTGTAGTTATATCTAAGCCTCTAAGGTTAGTATTACGAAGTGGCTCACGTAGCCTATAGTTCTCTGGCAGTATTGGTCATTGCTACATGCAGGTTTGTCTTAGGAAAGCAATGCCTATTGGATAGATAGGATACAGGAGGGGTAATAGACAGAACTGAAAAAAATCTTTTTTGTATAAACTCGAGGATAAAGGAGTGGTTCGCCCCTCAGCCGGGAAGGGCAAGCTGTGATAGTAGCGGGCTTTGGAATGCCTATCGACCGATGTCTCGTTGTTACTATTTAGTCACGTAACCTACACAAATGCGTAGACACGTATAGTATTAGTAGGAGTTATATCGAGAGGGTGTGTTCCGTTCTATATCCCAGGATAAGATGACTGCATAAGCAACGGTAATAAAGGCGAACCATTGCTGCTGTCTGGTTGTCTGGTTGTCTGGTTGTCTGGAGACGCAGCATTGACGTAAAAATATCCCTTGGTACTAGATAGACTAGTGTAGGTAGGAATTCGTCTTTGGCTTAGAAGTAAACATTGCTCCAAGACTTGTGGATTTGGGTTAGCTATATGCAAGAGGATCACTGGACCCATGTCTGTCGCCATTCATTTGTTAGTGGCGCTAAGTGACAACCAGCTAGACATGCCGTCGGAGTGGACTGGCTGCTCCGCGACAGGGAATATCTAAGATCTGTTTGGCCATATCGTTTGTTGGTGAGACTTCTCCTGTAGGTAGGGTAGGTCAGATTCGGATATGGTGGCTACGGTGGGTTGTAAGAGGTACTCTATCCGCTGCCATGAATTAAGAAGAAACGAATGTATCATCTCTCGTTCTGGTGTGGCTTGCTATAATACTAGGATACTAGGTATGTAGGTAATAGAATAATAGAATAATACATGGAAGTGATAAAGAAAAGGGTTAGAAAATTCCATAGGATGGGTTAAAAAAATGACCTATTGCCAGCAGGAAGGAAATTCCGCATGACAAGCGCCCAGAGCGCTTGGCATTGACTGTATTAAGTGTTAGGTAGGTACGCTATGTACCGTACCGTACCGTACCTAACCTAAGGTATGCGGTATGTCTGCTACTTCCCTAACTTTTTTTTTTCAATTAAGTCATAACATACATAGAAATACATCTCAATAGGGGAAGGAAAGATATACCGCGCGGACTAAACAAGGCACCTCCCCCCGGTTAGTTCCCCCGCTCTGGATTCTCTGGGTCTTTGGGTCGCTACAGTATTAATTCAGCCCCATAGACAGTATTCGCACGGGGCATATTATGTATAGCAGTAAACTTTCTTTGCTGACTGACTCTTGCTTTACGCGCCGCCCCGAAAAGGGAAGAAAGGCTAATCGGTAAACGACCCGCGCTGTAAATCCGTATATCCACTCCAACTCAAAATCAAGTGTGTGTTTCTTCAAGAAACTTAGAAATTTACCTGGATTACCTTAAGGTACACCCATTTCCTTCTTTTAAACCAACCTTGACTTTTGTACGTCGTAGTCCTCGAAACCAAACATTAAATTAGCCCTTGCATTAATATTTTTTTTTTATAGACAACGTCCCTGTGCTCTTTTATCCTCGTCACTTGTGGCCCCTCCATTAGGGGGGGGGGGGGGGGGGGGGGGGGGGGGGGGGGGGGGGGGGGGGGGGGGGGGGGGGGGGGGGGGGGGGGGGGGGGGGGGGGCG